TAAGCTATATTACTAAAGCAGAGCTTGTGTTATGGGTACTAGACAACTGACAGGAATACTTTTTTTTTTGTAAATATATATATAATACATGTAGAGATTATATATTTATTTACAAAAAAAAATGTATAATAAACCCAGACGAATATAAAGAATCATACTCATGAACACAAACATTAATACCATGCAAGGAATCAAACTCGCGACCATCGGGTGTAAGGCGGTGTTAATAATCCGCTAGACCACCGAGACCGTCAATACAAAAACTCAAAACTCTCTTTATAACATTAGTATACAATATTTAATATACATTTTATTATTATATCTTTCATGCAAATTGCGTAGCCTACAGTCAAATGACTTTTCAATGGCGTCTTCATTTTAGGCTTTAGGCATCTAGGTTCATTATAAATGGCCAGCTATAAAAAGTAAATCGACTGGAGCATAAACTCGTTTCCAAATAATGGCTTTTCTATATTTTGCAAATTAAATTATGAACGCTCACCGCCGAAATCTTTTAGCATCGTTTTTTTAATTTTTTTTTATACTGGTTCCTTTTTTTACGATGGTAGCAAATAGGTATACGGCCCATCTGATGGTAAACGGTTACCGTAGCCTATGGACGTCTGAAGCAACAGGGGTGTCTCGTGCAGGGTGTAAAGGGAATAAATAAGAAACCTTAATAAATCTTTCTTGAAAAACCCTATGCTGTAGTCACTCGAGAAAACCTCGGTAGTTCATTCCACAACCTAAGTGTACGCAAGGGGGATGGGGATTGTCAGTAATGTGTACTGATGATCTTATTGCTAGCAATGTACCAGGTCAGGTTGACCTCCTCGTGGTTCCCTCTGAAAGCCATCGTGATAAATTCACCAAGAATTTATCACGATGGTTTTCAGGGGCATGAGAATCAATTAGACCTGACCTCATGTTCATCTTATCATCCTCCAATGGTGCTCCGCCACCGAAAACCGTTAGTGCAGAAGGGAGCACTATTTCATTATCAAACATAGATAAAGTGAACACAAGTGGATGCTCCTCTGAAAACGCACTGTTCGAGACCACTTAGGTTCTAGCGTATGGGGTTAACTTCCTTGTAGATGGTGAGCGGTGTGATGGTAAAAGGTAGCTGTAAGCATCATATCGAAAAATTCGTCAGAACATATTTCACATAACTGGAACGACAAAACAAACTGATGAACTGCCAGAGGAAAATGGATCGTAGCCTATATACTGGTCATTTTTGATGTTAAAGTGAAATTGAAAACTTTATACTCATGAATACCAATGTTTGTACCGTGTGCGTAATCGAATCTGCGACCATTGGAAATAAAACGCTACGCTAAACCACTAGACCACCGAGGCATTCAAAAGTAGAATATTTAAGATAGAATAGTATTAAATTGTAACCTATTATCAATTATTTCTATTCAAAAACCTTACGTATATCATGATTATATTTATGACTAGGTAACTGAGACGGTTTAGGCACTCAGTTTTATCTTATAAAATACTTTCATTTGTAACAAAACATATAAGAGAAATATAAGAATTTACATTTGAAAATAAGATAAAACATATATAATAATAATAACACAATAAATCCTGAAACAAAGGATACACACACTTTCTCTAATAATAACCTTTTTTATTGCTGTAGATGTCGCTGCAAACATATAGTTATATGTTTACACTAGTTCTGCCCGCGACTTCGTCCGTGTGGAACAGTGACATTGGATAGCTTAAAATATTTAATATTCTGACTTAAAAAATCTAAAGAAATACATAAGTTACATCGTTCTACCTTCAAAAATGACGAATGACAAACTTTCACCCCCTATTTTATTTTACCTTTTTAAAGACAAAATTTTTACATACTTTTATTATTTTTTTTTGTATATAATCAACAGCCTAAAAAATAAGTTTCAAGCTTCTAGCTTTAAATATATCCTTTCACAAAGTACTAGACCAGTGTTTCCCAACGTCGGGCCCACGCATCACAGGGGGGCAATTTGATTGTTAAGGGAGGCACTGGGGCAATTCGAAAATGGTTTCTTTATTAAAATTATATGGAAAGTTAATTTCAATTTATAATTACATGTATTGAAAACTAACTTACTATTTATTTCCTACTACAATATAACGTATACTACAAATAACTACAATTTCCTAGTGAATTTCCTAGGGGAGGGATGCATAAGAATTTTAGAAAGGCTATGGTGGGGTATGGTACTAAAAAGGTTGGGAAACTGATGTAGTCTATCGGTGTACCAAATTTCATTTTAATCGATTCAGCAGTTTTAGCGTGGAAGCGAGACAGACAGACAGATAGATACTTTCGCATTTATAATATTAATAAGGATTAGTAAGTAAGTAAGTATAGGTATGATCACACACGTAAAAGAAGCATTTCACTTTTATTACCCTATAATGTACTCGTAGTATGTTAAGTAATAAATGTTACCCTTTAACTGCCTTACATTTTATTATCACCAATAAACAGAAAAGAGAAGAAAATAACGGTATTTGTGAAAATAATACTTATTATTTACTAGCTGTACCCGCGGTTTTATTCGCATGAAATTCATTGCCTGTGTTATTTTGATCCATAAGCTATATATGACTGTAAAGTTTCATCAAGATTCGTTTAGTAGTTTTTGCGCGAAGATTAACTGATAGCTATTCATCCATTGCGACACTGAAGTGGCAATGGGCAGGGCACATAGCTCGTAAGACAGATGGCCGTTGGAGCAATAAAGTCCTCGAGTGGCGACTACGGAGCAGAAGACGCAGCGTGGGAAGGCCTCCAGCAAGGTGGACCGACGACCTGGTCAAGATCGCTGGAAGGCATTGGATGCGCGCAGCGCAGGATTGATCGTCATGGAGATCTTTGGAGGAGGCCTATGTCAAGCAGTGGACGTCTTCCGGGCTGCGATGATGATAATGGCAATGATCTATCCGTATTTACGTTTATTATATTAGTAAGATCTACTTTTGACAGCCTCGATGTCCTAACGGATTAGCGCAGTGCTTTACTTCCAATGGTCATGGGTTTGATTGTTTGTGTGGGTCTGGGTGTTTTCTATGTATAATATGTATGTATTTACGAAAAAAATATCAATCTATTTGTATCAGTTATCTAGTATTCATAACAAAAGCTTTATATAGCCTAACTTGGGTTTAGATGGCACTGTGTGAATTGTCCTGAGATTATTATTATTAGTCTTTTTTTTCATACATTTTATTATTATTATAAGATTTTAGTAGTCAGGAATAGCAACGCGTAAGTGCTATCACAAGCATCACATGATAACATGATATCAGTATCGCTGTTCATGTATATGGAGATGGCTACTACTTACCACTAAGTGGGTCGTCAGCTCGTTTGCCATTACTATTATATAAAAAAATATAGGTTCTACCAGGTATTTACGCCTATATTTATGGCTATAAAAATGTCACATGAATCTTTGTCTAAATCCTCACGAATTCAGATTGCTAATGTTATGTTTGAACAGTACAAAATCTCTTGGAAAAAATGCTTTATATCAATTATGTATTTACATTATTAAGTTAATATAATATAATAATGTCCAAAATTTGCGGACATTATTATTAATTAATCATTTATTATATTAAATTTTGTTTTAAAATTAATTTGTTTATTATAGTAAATTTTGTCTTCCGTTTAAAAAAAAATATTATCATCATATCTTTTACAGTTAACGTTATTTGGTTATTTTCACCCGCAATGATAAGTCTATCACCCCATCAAAGGGAGATGTATAAAATATATACATAAATAATAATAATATGACACGTAACTCTAACCTATCGCTAGCCGTCTTTCTTTTTTTTTTTTTTTATGGATGATAATGGAATGGTGCACCCGCCTACGCTAACGGTTTACGCTGGCGAGCCACCAGTGGGGGATGATAAGATGAACTAGAAGTCAGGTCAGTTAGCCCATCTTGACAAATTCACCAAGAATTTATCATAATGGTTTCCAGGGAGCACCGCATGGAGGTCAAGTTGACATGGTACATTGCTAGCAATATGATCATCAATCCACATTACTAACAATTCCCTTTCCCCCAGCCGTCTTTTTTAACACATGTCGTATTGTAAAAAAAATCTTTCGTTATCACATTCATAATCGTCATGTTATTTTTAAACTCATCCATGCTTGGCTAAGGTCCGCGTGTTAGAAGGTATTGCTCCCGTAAAAAAGGACATACATAATATATATAAATAATAGCGGACAATTCTACTAGACCTGATAGAATACCTAAATCTTTTTTTTGTAAAATACATAGAAAATACGCTGACCAATACAGATACAAATATTTACATCGTGCGAGGAAATGAACCCGCAACCAATAGTAGTAAGGCGGTGTACTAAATTGCACAGACCCGAGTTTGTCAATATGGTTTGTTTAAACTAATTATGAAGTTTAGCTTGAAAAGGCATAGGCTGTCAGATTTAATTATACTGTATCCCATTTCTAATTATATCATTAGAATAAAGAAATGTGAAAAGTTCAAACTCGTTAAAATTTATCCGGTTATTCCGTCACAGATTCAAAGTTAGCAACAAGCACGTTCCTAAATGTTTCACTCAAACCGTAATTACAGTTGCTATATGAGCAATAAATTTAATTTTAAATATAAAAAATGGGCACAATCTTATCTAAATATTTTTACAGACTCCGACCACAAAAACCCATCTCAAACCAAAGCGACACCGTAATTACTGAATTGTCCTCATTCCGCTAAGTGAATATAAATGTAACATAGCCCCAATAAAGGCAGAAGTCATGCCGACCATAACCCTCGAAACGTCTCAAATGCCTTTTAAAATATCCATCACAAATTCAAGTTTTTTAATAACGGCTCCCCGTGGACGAGACGGCTTTTTAACTAGCAAAGTTCGGTTGTAAAATAAGAAAAATATCATTTATTTAAGCATTATAACAAGAAAGAAATGTATTAAATTTACTTACAAGATTCGTGAAACTTCTCCGCTGCTTTCAACAACTATAGAAGAATATACGGAGTTGGAAATTTGCCTGGAATTCGTGATAGCGTAAGGCGAGAGACGCGACCGGTCGCGAACACCGACCGGCGTAGACTGAAAATTATTTCGCTTTTCAGAGGGATGGAAACACCCTATGCAATCTCTCGGTGTTGCATCCTCCCCCAGTACCAATAGACACTCATTCGTATAATTTCCGCGGCAGTTTCTGACGTTCTCTGCCTTGATACAAATTGTTTCCCCATTTGTAATGGAGTGAGACATAGTCTTGGTTCACACGAAATAGGACTTAATTCTTATTTAAATTTGGTGTCAAATTGTTTGCATGAGCGTATTGATGTTCGTTTAAAGTCTGAATATAGATAGGTAGGGGTCATTTACAGCGGAGATTTCGTCTGGACATTAAACAAACTGTTTATTTTTTACATTGACTTAAACGGCTCTGGGTTCTTATAATAATAATTAACATAATTTCCCAATGTTACACTTGTAATCCCATAATTATTTATATTAAAATTAATATAATAAATTTAATATTTTAATATAAACGGGGTTAGTCGTACCTTAAGGTTATGAACTTAATGAAACTGAATCTCTCTATTAAGTTAATTTGAATAGAGATTATCTAACTAATAATCTCTGTTCAAATTAACTTAAGACCATGAAGACAATATTATTATTTTATTTTATACTAGCTGTGCCCGCGGTTTCACCATCGTTATATTTATAGCCTATATGTTATTCTGGTGTATAGCTGTAAAGTTTCCTCAAAATCCGTTCAGTAGTTTTTTCGTGAAAGAGTAACAAACATCCATACATACTCACAAACTTTCGCTTTTATAATATTAATAGGATTTTATTATTTTATATATGTTAGTCTTAAGGTATATCTATACAATATGGTTGATCCATATTGTACATACTTTAGGACCTTAAGGACTTATATGTGAATAATATTAAGTTTCCTGAACCTAATATATAAATAATAAAAAAGAAATTATTGCTGAACATTTTTCTTTAAAGTCCGTTAAAAATATGGATTATTACACCCTGTTGTTAACAGCTGCTACGTACCTTTCTGTCTAGGATTACTGTAATGGCTTTTAAAGTGAGTTTTCTTTTAATCCTTGCCGATCAAAAAGGGGTGTTATAACAGTTGGAGTACTTGCAGTTTAGTAAAGGATTACTCGTTAAGGGCGTACATAGCCGAAAGAAAACCTATCTCACTTTAGATAGATATAGCTTTATTACCAATATTAATATAAATAAAGTTGTTAAAAGGAACTGCTTTGGCTGTTGCTGATATAACAACCTCAGTGCACCTCATATATATAACACTGGTTTTCAGTCACCTCCATTACTCATGAAAAGCTTAATAGTGTGTGCAGAATTTTTTTCTCTACAACTATTATTTAGTTTTTCTTTTTATGTTTCTTACCGTGATCGAGTTATTTTAAAAAAGGCGTTTTTTAATTCTTTTTTTTAATTTTTTCATTCCCTTCCAGTCAACTTAAATCAAAATTTGTTTCTGAATATTATTATTCACGTATTTGCACGTTTATTTTTATATATTGCGTCGTAACTGGTCACATCACGATTTAATATAATATTTTATTGGACTATAAGAAACATGCGGGTTTATATAAATTTATAATATTTGAGAACAACAATAAACAATTAAGAAATAAGATAATATTTTAAGGAAGGTGTTACATATGAATGTGAATAGTTATAAGGGCAGAGGAAGGCCGAAAAAGAGATCCATGGAAAGAAAATATGTGAAAGATGATATGGTAAGAATGGGAATAAATAACGAGATGACTGCGAACAAGGATGAATGGAAGAAAACATATTACGCCGACCACAAATAAATGACATAAGGAAGAAGCAGATGATGATGATCATAATTGTATGTATAGTAGGTATGTGTATAGTAGGTAGTGTATGTAGGTATTCTATATAAATATATATATTCTGGTTTTTATTTCAAATTCTGCTATATATTTATTAAATTGATCATTTGGCAGCGCAGTTTGTAAGTAATTTGATTTTGTTTTTGACGCCTTACAATACTTTTTTCGCATTAATTCGGTTCAGTAGTTTTGATGTGAAATCGCAACAGACAGAGAGTTACTTTCTCATTTATAATATTAGTAAGGAGTGATGATTATGGCAGTGAAGTTACAATGTATGAGGGAACATCTTGCTCTCCAGAAATGGCAATGTACAAAGGGTGTCATGGGCGTCATATAACGTCATAATGTCAGTGATGAATATTCAACTGGTACTATATATATTTTTAAAGTATGATAATAAAGTGATGCACCAGACTACGCTAACGCTTAATGCTGGCGGGGCACTAGTGGAAAGTGATGCATGAAGTCAGGTCAGTTAGCCCATCTTGCATAATGGCAATTTACCACGATGGTTTCAAGGTCAACCTGACATGGTATATTGCAATGGGGTTAGCCCACATTATTAACACTCCCCTTCCTAATTTCCATCAAATCTTAGAAATATCTCATTCTAGCACTTTTTCTATGTATATTGGTTGGTAAGTTATTAGCGAGAAGTCTTATTTATATTCATACATAATTTAATAACTATTTTTATACTAAACGTTAAGAAAAGTCGTTAGTACTCAACGATGGCCATAACTTGAACTATCCAATCCCGAGGACCACTATACACCAGGAGCGTTCTTAATACGAAAACTTTCCGCCAAAAGTGGGAATGCTGAGTCTGCAACTTTATTAATCAAACTTAACTAATACAAATTTAATGAAACGGCATTCCCCGGCTCCTTGCAGTCATGCCACCCTGGTAACATTAAAATGTACTGGACTTTCGCATAACTGACCATTTAACATAATGGGTATTAAAAACGGCAATTTTAATGGATTAAAGTCACAAACAATGTAAATAATTTAGTAATAATACACTACATAGAAATGTATGAGTATTTTTATGTAGTATAAAACAAAGTTGTCCTCGCTGTCTGTTGTCACTCTGCTACTGCTGTCTGCTCACTTATGTCTCTGTAAAATGTTAATTACGCAACGGATTTTAATGTCAACAATAGATAGAGTGATTCAAGAGGACGGTTTATACGTATAATTATAGTATAGAACATGCCGAGAAATTTAAAGATTTGTACATGTTATACACCCGTGCGAAGCCGGGATGCGTCGCTAGTTAATAATTAAACCGTTATAACTATATTTATTGTACAAGATGCTATTGAATTGCGATTTTAATTCTTTTATGTAATTGGAAGTAATAAGTGACTGAACGAAATCACTACAGAATTTTAAAAAATGCCACGAATAATTTTACGTGGATATATTTCCTAAGACGGCCCGAAAGACAATCAAAGGCGACATATAAAAAAATAGAAGTATCAAAATAGTACAAAAACCATGGTGGACAAGTTGACAGCATCAATGCACTCTATTACAATTATCCATTTTTTCAATCAACAAATGAAACATTAACGAAATTAAAAAAAAAATCAATAAATTGCAATAAGTAGCAGGACAACCCGCGATAAAGTTTTTGAATTTCGAATGAGCACCAAGATTTTTATTATGTTAGATGATCGCTTTCCAGCCAGTTCTGATTGTTCTGAACTTTGATATTGAATGTAAGGTGCATGTATTAATTTTTAGTGGTAAGATATAATTTTTAAGATTACTTGAAAATCATCATTATCCTATCATACATACGTACATGTGACTACGGCAATAATGTTTAATGAGTACTAGACCACTTAAAATAAGGAAACTAAAACCTTTACTAATCCAAGGATGGGATACAACAAAATGATAAAATTTTGGGTATTACTCAATTTATTTGTAACAAGTTTGAAGTCATTTTAAGTATTAGGTAGGTAACGCACTATCGATATCGGGTAATTTTTTTTTATATCTGTGATAGTTTTAATAATATTATACGCGAACATTTGTGAGTATAGCTGGACAGATGGATGAATGTTTGTTACTCATTCACGCAAAAACTACTGAACTGATTTTGACGAAATTTATAGTTTATATTATTTTACTAGCTGCGAGGTTACGCCTGCGGGCACAGCTAGTATAGCAAAATCACCAGTATACACTTAGCGATAATATCCAGTACAGCAACGAATGAGTGATATCACGGGGTTGATATAAAAACGTGCTGTCTGTTCATGTATATGTATATGCTGACGGCCCACTCGCGATCCGATGGGCTTGATCCTAGTTCCAGTTACATAAAGAAAAAAATGCAGGTAAAGACTGGATGCATATTGCCATGGATAGCGAGGGTTAGCTTAAGATGGAGGAGGCTTTTACCCGAGGAGAAAAATAAACCAAAAATAATAATGATATGTTTGAAAAATATATGATATATATCCAAATAGATGTAAAGCTATAAAAATATTAGTAATAAAAAGTAAAAATATCCTTATTGATATATATCCGACCGATGATCGCGGGTTCGATTCCTTGCACGGAAACATTTGTATTCATGAGTATGATTGTTTCTATTGGTCTGGGTATTTTCTATATATAATATGAATGTATTTACGAAAAAAAATATCTATGTTTTTGTATCAGTTATCTAGTACCCATAACACAAACTTTAGCTAAAAGATGGCGCTGTGTGAATTGTCCTGAGATTATTATTATTATTATTATTATTATTAAAGCTCATGTAGTGCAACATTTTGTCTAGACACTGACTATATCTAACTGACCAAAGTTATTACAATTACTCTTTACATTTGCTGTGTTAGTGCAGTACGTGATATAACTCATAATAGGGAACAATGGAGCCAACGTGTTCGGATTCACAATTTCTCGGCGCAATTGTGCAACCCAGCTGGTGTGTCTACTAAAATTAATATCTGTCACATAACCGCTGGCATTGAGAGAGTGAATCTTCTTTGGAACCTTATTACATAGTAAACTAAGTTTTGTATGACGTGAGCTGACTCAAGCGTACAGCAGGAGAAGACTATTTTTATTATCAATGTTGCAAACTCTTTCAATATGTTTATTTTTGTATTAATTTTATATTTTTT